AAGATCTACCATGGGAGAAGAGACGTTCTCAAGCATTACTCTTCTTCATATAGGAAACTAGCGACCCGCCCCAGCTTCGTACGGGTGTAGATATTGAAATTCTCGAATTTTCTCTACTATAATATGAAAAATGTTTGATTTTTTTGCAGTAATGGCCTAGGCCCACCCTGGAAAATGGCCCTAGATACGCCAATGAGCAAGTGCTTCTGGCTAGAGCGCATGAAAGAGTCTAACATTTGCGTCTGGCTAACGGAAAAGTACCGCTTTTTTTACATCTAACAACACGTATTTAGATATTAAAGCTCTATTACTGTTTTGTTCCCCTTTGGGTCGCCCCAACGTTTTCGGCCAACTGCTAATTTTTTTTTGTCTGATTAATAAAATTTGCAATAAGATATATATAGAAGTCATGGGTTTCATTTATTTTTTTGTAGGGATCAAATAAATAATGTTATCTTTAAAATAGTAATGTTCTGATCGAAAGATGATGTAATGATATTTGTATTTTGTCTCCTATATTTTCCCAAAATCGCCCTATTAATAAAGTGACAGCACCTCCTAACCAGAATAACCTACGAAATAACGAATTAAAAAATCGTGTTTTCATAAATTAATAATGGTTAAAATACAAAACTTACCGATGAAAAGTGATTTTGGTGTTAATATACGGTATTCTCATATAATTGCGGCCCAACGTTTGGTAAGATTAAATGAGTCATGTAGATAAGTATATAATCAAAGTCAATTGCATTTATTGTCTTTTTCACAAACAAAGATCTTTTTTAAGCTAAAGAAGTACAACTTCTTACGTGTTTATAGGGAGAAAGCCCGTATTTCGTTATATTTTCATGTTATTACTCTATAGATAGATATTCTTTTCTCTATATAATCATATCAGCAATTGCCTTAATGCGGTATTTCTAATCGACAGCTTCTCTACTGTGCTTTAGACTTACTAGCTAAGCGTCCACAAGGCAAAAGTGAAACAGGCTTTTGTAGAGCCACCGCGCTTGCTACGACTATTTACTGCTTACAACTAGATATGGAACTCTAGTTTTGCGCCCGTATGTAATTTATGCCATGTAACCAACCGACGTAGAAAGAAATAAATGCATGATACTAATCCACATAACTCATACCATCACGCATTATAACGCCATCTGCTGTCCATCGTTGAAACAAAAAGTCGTTATATATCGTTATATGAAATATTATTGTTTGATTTATAAGTTTTTATAATACCTAGGTGTAATGGTTCTTTCTTATATAGAATATTTACATCGAACTTTACGTTAATCCGCCAAGGAATATGTAAGTTATGTAAGGATTTTCAATGTTAAATATAGAAGGTTAAATTTAAACCCATTTTCTTTTTTAAGTAATTTATCTTTACATTATAAAATTGACACCAAAAAACCGCAAAGCAGAGTGACAGAAATATATTCCGATTAAAGCACCTTTATCGGATGAAATGACATAATACTCCAATCCATTGTGAAAAACAGTCAAGTGGTACAGAAAACCTGCGATTGATTTGTTATCAAATAACTCAATGCTTTGACACTGCACAAGAACACAAAAAATCAGAACATCCAGATTGTGGACTTCACAAACGAAATTCTGAAAAATTTATGACCCAAAACTGAAGACATTTTGTCCGCTCTAAGGCGTAAAATAAGCGACAGAGGAAATAATACTCAGGAAACCTGTGTCATATAAAAAATGTATGTTAAGATTTATAATTTTAATTTAATTCATTTTTTATAAAGGAACATTAAAAAACTTATAATGTATTCTCCTTTATTGCAATATGTCCACCATTTTATTTTTAGTAGAGAACAACCCAACAAAGTACAGAAAACTGTAAATAAATTCTAAGTCTATTAAGAGACATGAGAACCAAGCTGACTGGGTTGTTGAAGGAGTACACGTGGCCCACACTACTAAATTTTTTGTATGATATCAGCGTGTAGTGGTCTCTAAAGTAGGTTTGAATATAAGTCGTGGTGTGGCTCACGGGTGACCCGCGTGGCCCCAATGAAAATACTATATTTTCACGTGGCGTTCAACGTGGTCCCTTAGTACAACGTAAGTTTCATTAGCATCAAGCAAAATTACTTTACTAATTATCCCTAACACCTTTTACACTTTAAGAACTGTACTTAAACGACCTAATTTGTACAACTCGAAAAAGTTTGCCATTTAGATTTATTTGTTGGCCGCTAGACCAACGTGACTGATTGTAAGTCCGTGTATAAAATACAGTGGTTATTTCTTAACATCTAAGTACAAAAATGCTCTAACTTCAGTAGTACTACTTTCTCTTGTCGTTCTGCGATAGAACAACACACAACTGTTCCTTTTGTCTGTCTCTTGTAGTTTGGTAACCACGCCTAGATCTGAAGTCATGAATCTTCAATCACGTTTGTCTTACATAATGTCTTTCTTCCATCTCTAAAATAATTATGCTTTGACTACATAAAACAATAAAATAATTATGCTTTGACTACATAAAACAATTAATTAAATTCATCAAAGTTATGTGACTTCTAGTAATAGGTTTGTGTGTGCTTTTGAATAAGGTAAAATTGGTAAAAAAAAACAATTCAATACTCTTACTAATTTAATAAGTTTCACTCAAAAAATTAAGGTTCAGTCAGGTATGAGTGGATTTTTATATGCGGGGCCCCATTTGGCGCGGGGCCCGTAGCAATTGCTACATGGTTTATCCGGCACTGCTGGCGAGAGATGTATCTAGGGCCAATGATATTTTATTAAACATGACGCATGTCCATTCGGCACGGCGTTTTACAAATTGTTCCGACGACGAAATTATATGTCATAAGTAAGTGAATGTAACAGATGATATAGAACATATGATACGGAAAGAGATAGCAGTCTATAGAATTGCAATCTATTTATACCGATTGGCATAATTTGAGCGCCTCAGTTTCGGTACGCTATTGTCACAACTACCTCGAATTTGTATTTAACATCATTGATCTGGAGCCCACTCTTTAAAGCTTGGGAACGCACATGCAACCCCTCAATTGATATAGATGTCCATGATTGGCGGTAATCATTTAGCACCAGCGAGGCAGCCTGCTCTCTTGCCAATTTTGCACAAAAAAAAATTGTGGCCATTATCGGCCAAGGTTGCTTGCTAGTCACAAGCACGGTGTGGATTTACGCTCTGTTTGTATTGCTTAAAATGCTCTTAAAGTGTAATGCTCTATTTACTATTTCAGCCGAATGAAAGATTGTTTTCCGGTTTTTTCTACCGAAAAATTGCTAAGAGTAAAAAAGCCATATCCGTCAGCTAATACTTTTCAATTATTAACGTTAATACTCTAACGTCATCTCAAAATATGACGTTAATCTCAAACTGAGAAGTTAGTGAATAATTCAATTCAAAAATGAAATAACTCTGTACTTGGTTAATAAAAGAATAGTAATTTAAATCCTCCATTTTATATTTATTTGTAAACCTTGCAAAGTGAAACGTGTTGAAGTGTTTTCTTTTTAATACTTAAACATTTAGATTTTTTATTTTAGATATGCATTATCCACCATCGCGATAGTCTAGGCAGCGTATAGTCTAAGTAAATATTTGAACCCATGAGCTTGATATCATTTATATACTATATACGTATTTATATATAATATATACGTTTAAAATGTTGACCTACTATAGTTGAAGATATTATTAAATTGTTTTTCGTCTTACCGCTAGAACTAAATACCATCGCCACCACTTCGATAGTTGGCAGTCCACCACTGTGCATTTCTCACGCTATTTTCTGCCACACAGAACCAAGTTGTGGAATCACTTGTCGCCAGCGGTATTTCTGGACGGAAATTACTCTGGCGACAACTTAATTATTCGGACCTTCTATAAGAGAGCCTATTCCTATCTCAAAGGTCGGCGACGCATTTGTAACTCTTCTGGTATTGCGAGCGTCCGTGGGCGGCGGTGAGCACTTACTATCAGGTAACCCGCCTGCTCTTTTGCCTTCTTTTCTAAAAAACTCTACTTTGAATGCCTGTTAATTTTATGTTGATGATATGGTTCAGACATACTTTTACAATAATTGACATTGTGAGATTACTTCTTCTTATTTCTCCTGCCCTTATCCCACCGAGGTGAGTTCGGCACGAGTGAATCAGGGTTGTAAATAGTATTGTCTAGATTTTTTATAACCGGCCGCCTGCCTGACCCTCCTTGAAGAAACACCGGGATGCGGGACGATTATTTGTGTATATGCAACTAATTGTCATTATAACAAGTTTTTGAAGTCATCATATAAAGGCTATGAAGTCTGAAGCTTTGTGAAGGTTAATTTCCAAGAAGATTAAAACAGTAAGTTAACAAGTAAACCCATGCAAATTTTATGAGTTTACTCTTTATGCTACTGTGGAACATGATGTTGTACCGCAAATTTTATTACGATATTAAAATAGCAAAATATTCTCCTATGTATCTTACATCTTTAAAGTATATTACATTTTACTTAAGATAAGGTAAAATGAAATGCAATACTTTAATAAATTAATTAATAAGTATAAACTTAGTTTCACACATTACACAGTCCATCAAAGATGCCATATTGTCCTTCCTGAGCGAAATCATAATCACAAATATGCATAGTCTGTATCTTTATTAAATTTTGTGTAATAATTCCAGTTAATAATGACAACAAAATTAATCAAGTTTATTACGTTAAATTTTCAAGACTCGTTTTCTCTATGTATATAATGATGATTTTGTTTATTTCTATGAGGCAAAAATTTTTGGGCCATATTTGCCGCCCCCAAAAATATGCCGCCCAAGGCTCTAGCTTACCTAGCCCACTGGTAAATCCTAGTAACAATCGTGCGATAACAATTCCAAAACTCTTTACCTGATAACTAAGCGACTGAAGCATCACAGCGACGGTGTCAGTTCGATTACAGCCCGGTTGAGAAAAGAGCCATGTCGCCGCGGGCCGCGCAAAAAGTCAGCCATCGGCCATTGCGAATTGACCGACAATAACAATACCCATATGAAAGTAGCTGGCCGTTGGAGCCGGTCCCGCGTAGACACCAGAACAGCGCAGCGCTAGCCCGCACCAACAGTACGCGCAGAACTTTCCCGCGCCGCGCACGCGCTCCCACCGGCCATCGCTCGCTGCATTCGGAAGCGTTCACAAATTACGTGATTCCGCTTAACGGACATTCCCATTCAGAGAGCGGCCGCATTCGATATTCCCATTTGTTTACTTTGAACTTATTCGTGCTGCGTCTCGATAGGCTGCGTTACAAAACAACCCCGTGTTTGTTTACTTGCCGCGTGCGCCTTTGCCGACAACATTTTCGCCGGCGGGGAGACGACAAGCCGCCGCAGCGGCTCAGGAAAAATACGCCTGATTTTATTATTTTGGGTAAGTCGATTAAACTACACATTTATACATTATCACTGGCGCGCTTGTTACAACATTTCAGGAACTGGTTGGACTTAATGCTCTACAGAACCTACGTAATGAGCACTTGAATGATTTACGATACTATTCGATACATATTTATACATCGTTTTACCTGAATCCACGAATTAATACTTACTTTTGAGTAAACTTTTCTTTAACCCGTTACTATTATACAATTACATTATTTAAAAATAATTTAAAGGTATACACAATATCTACGTGCACGTTATAAACTTAATAAAATTAATTTTGTATTTAAAAACCATTAATTCAAGCCTTGTTTTAACGTCCCCAAACGTATTTATTAACCAACTGACTTATTTCTTGACCTTGCATAAGACTGGTACAGCACGAAATTGGCAACGGTTGTAAAAAAATGCACCTTCTCTTAAGTGATACAATTCATATTCATAAATGCTTATGTGGAGTTGAAAAACTCGAAGTCAACAAATTATAATATGTAATTGTCTCTTTCTGCCTCCATTTTCCTTTAGTTCAGTTTTTAAGAAATGAAAGAATTAAAAGTAGCATACCCTTTATTAATTTAATATCGGACATTCCATTATTTGAACGCAATTGTTATACCTGGATGTGGAAAGATTACAGAAATATCAGACAGTTATGAAATACAAAGTAAGCTAGCGACCAATTGTGTTGATGACACCGGCAAGTGATCATTACCGGATCCAGATATCCTTAATTGAAATGGCATCGTGTATACCGAATACAAATAGCATAGCGTGCCCGAACAGACGTGAGCCGAGGAAACACTTCCGAGTACGTTACAGAATTACTACGTAACCCATCCAAGCCTGATCGCCACGATTATAGTCTACGTAACGGCAAAAAAAGTTACAATAAAAGGTAATTCCCTGGCTGTGCACGGCTGTGCACCTTAAAAATCGGAAAAATCCGTATTGCTTTTAAAAGCGGCCCGAATAACAAATATTGAGGACCAAGTAACATAAAAGATACATAAAACATGCAGCGTAAGTTCAATAAGTTTTTTTAATTTGAATATTGAAAAAACCTTCAAAACGGGTAGCGCGTGGAAAAAAATGGACAGTAAGAATAATGTGAATTTTGCAGACGTGGACAAGGGCGAGTTTTTTTTTAGACAACATTGTTCTATGTTGTAAGGACGTTTTATATCGGTACACAAATGTCGCACGAATAATACGCAGGTCCAAAATATCGGTACAAATTTTTGTAATCGAACCTAGGCAGGGCCGCGCAACAGCCTTCGTTGTTGCACGAATGGGCAGGTCCGTCCGGGGAGTATCACGACGTCACAGAAGACCGGCGTGAAGTGGAAGTGTTATATTTCTGTGTTTCGTCTGGTGATAGAGGTCACTTGATTAAAAAGTGGCAACGCATCTGCAACCCTACGAATGTTGCTAATGTCAATGGCTGGCGGTTAATACTTAACATCAGGTGAACCGCCAGCTCTTTTGTCCCCGAAAATAACTTTGGAACTAACGCCAACCGGACACATCAAGTAAAGTTATAGAATCCTACACAAATGTGACGCATAGATAAAATATTTGTGAAATATTTTCTTTGTAAGGTAGAGCAACGACATGTATTTATGCTTGAAAAGTTTTCTAAAGTTCTTTGTTACTCAAAAATTTTTAAACTCAAATGAGATTACAAATTGGAAAAATTCTTAGTCCTTTCTTACAATTTATCTGCATGTAAGGCTTTAATAAAAGTTTTCTATTTCATAAATACGTAAAGAAAACAACAGTTCTAGTTAAACTCTTAGACAGAAAACGAAAGCGAAGCAAATATCGTCGCCTTTCACAGGTCTAAATAATATTGGTCACACCACACTTACTTCACAATGTTTGTAGCTAATACTACATGAATTTGTCTTATTTTAAGATACTCTAGTCACCTTATATTAAAACGTAATATTCGCCACGTTACTAATGTCAAGCTTTTTCATATTAATCGTAAATCTTAATATCGTGCTGTTTACCAATTTGATAATATAATTACATAGAAAATTAATAACCATCAGAAAAGGCTACAGCCGCCGTAACGGATTGAAAGTTTAATAACCGTTCGCTATGGGAAAACGGCAGATAAATTAATGATTTCACGGCCTTGTTGTGAGCATCCTGGGCATTACTGAGACGACAGATAGCCACAATGAAAATTTTTAGCAAACATAAAAATAATCAAAACCACGGAAAAGTATTCAACAACGTGGTTGGTAAATTATTTAGATACACTATAACAATCTAAATAATTTACCAACCGTAAATCAACGTCATGTTAACCGAATATTGTAAATGTTGTGACAAATCCTCCTTGGCTGAGTTCGAACAGTTCTAATTAGCAATATATGGTAGTCATGTGATACGCAAATTTTTGCAAGCGATAATATTTTGATTGTTATCACGGTGAGTTACTCAATATGTAGTCCCGTCGCCTTGGTCCGTCCACTATGAAAGCTGAGCACGTGTCGCGCTTGCTTAATGCAAGCCGCCGAGTTTGCGACGGGTTACTTGCAAAACGCATCGCTTTCTAATGCTGGAACCTTCGAAAATGTGGAAAACTGTGGCTACGCTAATCGTACGAAGTCGAACACGCCGGAATAACGAGCAAGAATTAACATACGTGAACTACGTACGCAATATTCGTTTTCGAACTAGAAAAGTAACTAGATAACATAAGAGGCACGGAGGAAATGGCTGAGAGAAGTTAGCAGGTTCATTGTTCAGTAGTTAATTTTTTATGATTTTACGCGAATTTCATACATATTAAATGAAACTGGTTTACGGATTTTATCGTGTTTTTAATTTTGACAGACGGGAGAGACCTTACACCTTGCATTAACTATGAACGCTGGAAAGGGTTCGAAACGTCGGGAATTAAAAATCAACGATCACGAACAAATCTACTGAAAAACTGACCTATTGACGTCATAAGGGCTGTCTTTAACGTTATCTGTTATGGCAAAATTTGCTGATCTGCTCTTGTTAAATGTTCATATTAAATAAACAAACCAAACTAACACATTTCAAAAATAAAGCTTCACTAGAACCGTGTGAAATGTTCGCGCAGTATCGTGATCGATCACCGAAAGGTAATGTAATAATATGTAAATTAGTATTAATCAATGAAAATTGTTTAGTTTTGAAGAATGACGTTTTTCAATCATAAACAAATTATCAATAGATGACATTATCATACATTCATATAAGAATTTTTTAAAGCAAGATTAATGAAAACGTGAACTTTATTTTACTCATGTATTTTTCATCAATAATGCCAAAAATAATCTTTAAATTGGTTAATTTGATGTAGAGTTATGGAATTTTAGACGTTACGACTGTAACCAATATATCCACTTAATATGTAGCGACCTCAACGCAAAAAGTAATTATACATCGAAAATCAAGTTGTATATTGTATACTAAAACTTACGTATATGTATAATTACATATCCCCGCAAAAAGAAATTATGTGCACTGGTTATTATTATAGCAAAAACTTATTACGTCTGCTTTAGTAAATAATTGTATACATAGGGACCGATGCAATTTAGAGCCGATGATGTACACTGCAATGTGATGGAGACTTAAGAACGTTATAAGAGTTGAGAAAATGGGGAAAATCAATCACATGCCATTAAACTCTTAAAAATGTTTATTTAAACATCATTTAATAAAGTGTTACGAAATAAGTTTTTATTTTAAAATAAAAGTCGGTGATAAAATTAAAGAAATGAAAAGACTAAAAATCTAAAATAAATCGTTCTGAAATATGTACCGAGCTTATTCATTATGAAACCTTTCAAGGAAGAACACTTTTCAATCCAACCACTGGCTCGTATTAATTGCGCTTTAAAATTATTCCGGTGTAATTGCGTTAAGTGCTGTCCGTGTCTAGATTGACCCGCACTTGACCGTGTTTCGCTACCACTCGACTGGACGTTTTGCGTAACAGCGTCAACTCATTCCGATAGGTGACGTCCAATTTTGCGACCCGAGCATCTGTCTTCACTGCTCTATCCACATTTTGTCGAGTTCAATTCAAAAAATATCCCACTTATTTTTAAAGTCATGATTTGTTTTCGTTTTCATGTTATCGTAATAAATAATTTGAGTAGGTGCAATATTATTGGAGAACAAAACTTTTATTGACTCCGTTATTAAGTATTATTAAAAACGGCTGCTGTTTTGAACTGACACGTTTTACAGTCTGATAATTTTCCTTTCATTTTTAAATACTTAATTTACAAAATTCAAATTTAGCGTCATTAACTTCAGAACTGTTTGCAATAGACTTAAACGTGTAGGTACTTAGGTAAATGGAATTAGCTATTCCAATAAGCAAGAAGTATGCAAATACTTCTATGCGTTTTAAGTATATTATGATATTAAAAATTTGATGTATTTCAATTTGATTTTTATTCGAGCAAAGCCAAGAAGCCAGCTGGAACGAGAAAGATATTTGAAAGCCATCTTAGAATTTTGTAACGGCAAGATTACTGCAGAGAAACATGCAATATATTGCATAAGGCGTCACTAGTCTAAAATCGATATCTCTTCGTGTTAGACTTTGATGTAACTTAATTATTAAAAAAAACGTTAGAAAACATAAAAAACAAAATAAAATTTTGTTAATAACACATTGTTCAAAGGACAAAATTGGATTTATTTCATTATTAACATTTATAGATTTATACACTATCGAGTAATTTTTTCGAGTGATTTTTTAGAAACAAACAATGGATGAAGTAGATTGCTAAAGTTTCCAATAAATTTTATTATCTTCAAACTAGTATTGTTGACATAATATAATTTTTAAATTAATAATCAATCTTCTTAAAATCTTCTAATCGTGACAAATAATAACTCATGAGTGGTTAAGCAGATGAAGTTGGGATCTACTCGTATGTTGTACTCAATCTCAGGTAGTGGTATAAACATCATTGGGTTGGAATGATTTGAAACTATAGTTAGTTTATAATCAAACGGTAATATTTCATTTTCTCAGCGTGTTTTGGAGATTTTACACAAACATGTTACTTGCATTTTATAAAAAAAAATTGTATTAGTTTGGAGGACAAGTTTCTTCGTATTTTATATACATATTCAAGATATTTTTTTTCAGACAATGCTTAAACCAATTTTGTAGTACTCTGGCTTGCGTGGCACTTTTCCCATATGTACTAAAACTTTAAAATGTAACGAATTTCTTCGTTAGATTCACTCATATTGGCGGACAGAAAATGAGAGCAAATAGTTATTTTTCTTTTTTATTTTTTTAAAATGTCATATATTTACTATAAGAGCCGTGATAGCTCAGTGTCCGGGCGCCGCCTTTAATTCAATATACTCGAGCAACCTGAGTTCGATCCCCGGTGCCGGCACCAATGAAGTTTTTAACTTTAAGTGCTGACTTATCACGTGCTCCGCGGTGAAGGAAAACATCGTGAGGAAACCTGCATATTTTCGAAAATTAAAATATATATTTCGAAAATATGTGAAGCCCGCCAATCCGCAGTCGGGCCTCGTGGTGGACTATACCCTGATACCCTCTATATAGAGGAGGCCTTTTCCCAGCAGTGGGACATGTATAGGCTGTTACTTTACTTTTACTTTTATATATTTACTATTACTAAAACATACATGAAATAATCAATTACTATAATGATCCATCGTCCTACCCGACGTTTTAGTGGGAAGGGTAACAGGCTTGAATTAATATTTTCGATTTCGAAAAGTAAACAGTACTGAGATATAAGGAATTGTGATAGCAGAAATTGATAGCCAGTGCTATAAGTAAAGCAACGAGGTCCGTTATTAGGTAAAATATAAAGTATAATATGCTCAAATTTTATCCATATATCTACGATACTTTTCATTCAAAATATAATAATATTACGTACAAGGTTGTACAATTGACGCCTTGTACATACCCAAAAACTAAATCACTCAATTATGTATTTTAAAATAACCTCTATTTTACTAACAAACTTTAACAATTGATTTATCCATGAATAAGGCTTCAAGGCAAACCCTTTAAAGGTCAAGTGTTTTTCATCTCTACTAATTCGGTCATTTTATATTCTGCCGCTGAAATTTTTGTGTCATTAACTCCTAAGACAAAAAGAAATATAACAAGAAAACTAATAGAAAATTGTCTCACTGGATATAAAAAATTACTTGGTCTACATTTATGTATAAAATAAGTAGAGTGTAGGTAATATAGACGTATACCAAATGACCTCACATTCACATGTCATATTCATATTATTTCTGCATCATGGTCGCGAATTAAGCTATATTAGCATTTTTCTATAACCTTGAGAACCTATCTTTGATCTTATAGTTCACAAGTTACATAATTGTTGTAGCAGTGGGTCTTGTTACTACAAAGACTAAGGTACTACTATATATTGCGACATTTCAGGTTCCACAACACTTGATGTTTATGAAATCAATCATTAAAACATCAGCATCCTACTGATGACGTGCTCAATCAAACTTCTACATTGGAGCCTCTGAATTTAGGGGATACAACTTCGTTACTGAGTAACATTCAGAGCTCTACCAAAAGTCACGTGCTTATATATTCTACACTTTTTGAAACTCGCAGTATTTGGAAAATATAAAAATATATTTTACCATAACATTATTTCTGAATACAGAGTATAGTTAATTTTAATGCTATTGTTTCAAAGTATAAAACACTAAAATATGTAACGCTTGTTTATTTTATTTCTTTACGCAGATGTCACTCCTTTATTATTCACTTAGCACGTGTCATTGCCATTGACTTCTGTTTTATAATCTCAGCCATGTTTACAAATATTGTCTTCAAAATACTGTTACGTACTATTTATCATTCCTTTCAAAATCTCACTGGTTTTGTTACAAGAGACATTCTTTTTGTGAGAAAGTGATGTTAAATGATAACCGCCGCCCATGGACATTTGCAACACCCGTATGGTTGCAGATGCGATGCCATCTTTTACTAAAGTTGGTCCCGGCTATCTCACTTACCAGACGAAACGCAGAAGGGTAACGCTTCTACATTACGCCGGTCTTCTATGAGGTCGTGGTACTAATTCGTATGGACCTGCCCATTAATGCAACAACGAACACTGTTGCGTGGCCTTACCACAATTAACATAATATTATTTTAAGGAAAGCAAATGGGTTACAGTAAATAACTATAAATAGTGAATGTTGTATTTCAAGCTTCTGTTGTTCTACATTCGAAAAAACATAAACAGAGTATAGTATAATAATTTGTATAATATACAGCAGTGGAAAGTAAGGAAGGCGACGGAACAATTAACGCATATTCAGTAGTCTCTACTTTATCACGTTTTAATAGAGATTAAAAGATAGAGATCTTTTCAGCTCTCCATCAGCACGCTAAATCATCAATCATTATTTACATCGTCATTATTTAGTACATAGAGAATAACTAAGCTAAAAAAACTATTCTATAACTCACGCGTAAGACCCTCAATTCTGAAAATACTTTGTATCATTAGTTAC